CTTAGGATTAGTTAACCCAAAGAATATTTATTTTTGATAAAATATTTAAGTCTATTTCGTTAACTTTTATTTTATAAGATCTATATTTGTGATAAAAAAATTGTAGGTATATTCTATGGAATTTATGTTTATGAAAACATAAATCATTTATATCGATTGAAAACACTGCAACAAAAGCCTTTTTTTTTGTTCAACCTGCAACAAAAGCCTAAAACGCACGAATTTGCAACTGTACTCTTTAACCCAAGCGTAAACATGCGGTCACTACTCCTGCCGCCGATGAGGAGACAATGGCTCGGATACCCTCAGACAAAGAATTTGAATCACTTATATCCCTACCAAATCTTCATATACCTCATATTCATTAAACAAACTGCAATTACGAAATTGGCCTTCGGATATTAGAAAAGAAAATAAAAAAACAAAATTAAAAATGGAAGACGTTTGCGGAATGCGGTTGAGGAGAGTTGCGTTTTATTATGATTTGCGTCTCGGACTCGATTTCTCCAATCTCGTTCGATTACTCCTCTCAGCTTCACCTCTCCGACTCGAAAGTTGCTCCGTCTGGGTTCTCCCCTCCGGTGCCGTATAAAAAGCCCAATTATCTATCATGTCCATCGCTGGTTTATCCTCCACCGTAGGAGGTTTAAAGCAGGTATGTTTATGCTTAAATAGAGATGATACGTAGCTGAGAAACCTGATTATATTGGATTTAGATGTTGCATCTTGGTGTTTGAGCTCCATTATGACTTGAACTGAATAGGAGAATGACTGCATTGTTTCATTCGTAGTGCATTGAAGGTGGATTTGAATATCAATCAAAACTGGTACGACAGTTTCTGGTAATTGTGGTATAACTAGTAATACTGATATAAATTCAAAAGTTTCTGGTTGCGAATAATGGATTGTATATATGGTGTTGACAGGTTCCAATGAGAAACAACGTCATCATACACTTCAAATGTGAAGGTCAGATGTATTGTTTAGTGTTCAAGAATGATACGAATGAGATAAATCTTCGAATGGTAGAAGCCCGAATATGTAAGAAGCTGGCGGTAGATGAAAGTAATGTGAAGTTGAAATTGAGTTACATTCCACTGCTAATTGGGAGTGAGGAAAAATTTTCCATTTCTGATGATGAGGACCTCAGTGGTTATCTATTTTCTGTTGATAAAGACAACCGTAGGTGCATTTTGTTTGTGGAGATGATCCGAAGGTCTGAACTCCCAGAACAACTTTCAAGAACGGGAAAACGAAGTTCTTTAGGTATGAACTATGAGGTGTTGCATCCGAATGTTGATGAAATCGGAGAGAAAGCGATAACTTTATATTCTGGCAACAATCATGTTGATCCACAACCGGAAGGAGAAATTGTGACAATTGAGGAGATGTTGGAAAAAGGTGGAGAAATTATGGCAATTGAGGAGATGTTGGAAAAAGGTGGAGAAATTGTGGTAATTGAGGAGATGTTGGAAAGAGGTGTTGAAGAAATAAATGTGGATGAAAATTTTGATGGCAATGTGAATGAAAATGTTGATGGGAATGTGGATAATGATAGGCAAGAGACTGGAATGCGTGATAGATATGTAGATGTTCCACCTGTTGCAGAACCAATTCAGTTTATGGAAGAATGGGAAGACGGTCTTGGTTTGAAAATACATCAAGAGTTTGTTAGTAAAAAAGCAGTACAAGAAGTCGTCGATAGAGGTGCATGTAAGAAAACTTTTGGGTTTAATGTGGTCAAATCAGATAAGGAGCGATTAGTTCTAAAATGTCCTAAGGAAGGATGTAAATGGGGACTAAGGGCTGCGAAGATAAAAAAAAAAAACGGAAATATTCTCCATTAGAACGTACAACAAGATGCATACATGCTCTCATGGAAGTCAGAGTAATTGCAACTCAAAGAGGAAAGGCACGCCACAGCTAGTTGCATCTCTATTGCATGATGATTATCCAGGCCAAATGGAAACCCCTCCCGCTAAAATTATCAAGGAGTTAGTGTGGTCAAAACTGGGTGTCAATATATCATACTCCACGGCTTTGAGAGGTAAAAACGAAGCTGTGAGCATTTTGCGTGGGACTCCCGAAGAAAGTTATCAGATGTTGTACTGCTACTTGTACATGTTAGAGAAGATTAATGATCAAACAATAACAAGTGTGAAATTGGATGAGTCGGACAGATTCAAATACTTGTTCATCGCTCTGGGAGCTAGCATAGAAGGTTTTAAAGTGATGAGGAAAGTTGTAACCATGGATGCTACTTTTATGAAAAATGGATTTGGTGGTGTACTCGTTTTTGCAACAGCACAAGATCCTAACCGACACCACTATCCTTTAGCCTTTGGTGTGGTAGACGGTGAGAATAATGAAAGCTGGAGTTGGTTTTTTGAGCAGTTCAAAACTGTTGTGCCAGATTCATCGGAGTTGGTGTTTATGAGTGACAGAAATGGAAGCCTTTTCAATGCCATAGCTAACGTATTTCCAATGGCTCATCATGCGCATTGTATCTGGCATTTGGCTCAAAATGTGAAAGGTCATGCAAGAAACGTCAACAAAGACACAGTCGAAACAAAATTTATGGAAATGGCTCGGATTTACACTGTGTCTGAATTCGATGCTGCATATTTTGGTTTCAAGACTCGATATCCATCTGCTGCAAAGTATTTGGAGGAAAGTAGTGAGAAAGAAAAGTGGGCGAGGTGTTGGTTTCCCAGGGATAGATACAACATTGACACAAGCAACGTTGTGGAGTCGATGAACAGCGTGTTCAAGGATGCAAGGAAGTACTCTTTAATACCGATGCTGGATACGATTATTAAAAAAACTGCTGATTGGTTTAATGAACATAGGAAAGAAACCGTTAGAGGATCCAGTGAGCGGAAACTAGTTCCTCTAGTGGAGAACTTTGTGCATGACTCATGGACGGAAGCAAAAAAACTAATTGTGTCAGAGATAAACTCTTTCAACCTCGAATACAATGTCGTCGGTACTGATGGGAATCCATATTTGGTGAATTTACGTGCAAAAAGTTGCAGTTGCAGGTTTTTTGACATTGAAAAGTATCCTTGTGTCCACGGTATTGCGGCTTACATTTTATACTTTAAACTTGAGAGTGATCCTGGTTTCGTGTTAGAAGATTTGATTTCTAAGTACTATTGGACAGAGTTGTGGGCATTGGCATATTACAGGTCTATTTATGTGGTTCCAGATAGGAGTCAATGGGATGTCCCGGATTACATCAAAGAACTGAAGATCGTGGCTCCAAAACGTGTTGAGAAGAGGGGAAGAAAGAAAGTGAAAAGGTTTCCATCAGCTGGGGAACGTCGACCAAGGACGCAAAATAAAAGGCGTCCAAGACAAAGCCTTTAATGGTTGTTGTTTGGAAATCGAAATGTTTGAATTTTAGTATGTTTTCGTTTTGGAACACTATGTAGAACTATGTTTATATTTGTGTAATATTAGTAGTTAGTCTGTTTTCGTTTTGGAACACTATGTAGAACTACGTTCATGTTTGTGTAATACTAGTAGTTAGTCTGTTTTCGTTATGGAACACTATGTAGAACTACGTTCATGTTTGTGTAATACTAGTAGTTCTTTCACCAAATTGAGTTTTACAACATTAATAACAACATTAATTTAATACAAACTTTTGCAATGTTACATCTTAATACAATCTTTAATCTTGATGATAATGATGGGAGATGTAAAATTGTTATTTCAATACAATCAAAATAACAAACCAACACCATACTACTTACATACACTTTCACAACCATTTTGGTCAATATGTGACAACTGAATATTAGATTTAGTTTTACAGCATTAATACAAACTTTTATTGCGCAAAACACCAATAGTCATATTTTAAAATCTTTTAAATTATTGTACAACTAAAAATTGTTTTTTTAAATATATGTAATACTAAAATAATTGAAAATCGCAGGAAGTACAACTATTTGTAATTTTGGGACAACCAGTATCTTACGGATAACTACTTAAGATTTTTGGCGGGTTTTCCAAATAATTCTAAATTTTCGCGGACTTACTGAAAATTCGTGAGTCAAAGCGAGATTTCCTAGGGAAAAAGCAGATTCCCATATCTCATATGTTCTTTCTCTCTCTTTTCATTCACCACACCTTTCTCATCTCATATGTTCTCTCTCTCTCTTTTCTCTCTCCCTTCTCTATCATCAAAACTCTCAAAACTTCTCAATTCCGGAATGGATCCATGGGTGGAAAAACAGGAAAGGAGGGAGATGAAGAAAATGAAGGCCCATTACGACATGCTTGGGTACATTTCCGATGCTCAGTACGGAGTTCCATCGGATTGCCCATGTGGGGCAATCATTGTGGACGAGGTATCTACTAATCCGAAAGATAAGGATTTCTGCCCTGGGAGAACGTTCTTCACTTGCAGGAGGTTCAAGGTGATTTGGATCTCTCCTCTATTTCTCTTCATTTTTAAAAAAAAATAGAAGATTTCTCGAACTGAGTTAAAATATCTGAAAATCACAGGATGATGGGCTTCATTTCCGGCAACCCTGGGTTATCGGAATGCAGGAAGAAGTTCGTCGTTTAAAGAGGGAGATGAAGGAGATGGCTAAAGAGATTGCTGAGCTCGGGAAGCTTATTCCTCGTGGATGAGATTGCTCAACAGAAGAAGCTTATGTGTTTGATTTCCTGATTGTCTTGTACGATATTATGACTTATGTTGGAGCTTTTGTGTTTGATCTCATTATGTTGTTTGATTTCCTCTTGTTCTTGTACGGTATTATGGCTTATGTTGTTTGGATTATGTTCTCATCTCTGGATTATGTTCTCATATATGGATCTTATGCTAGTTTTACTAGTTGTTCCTAGTTGTTCTTTACTAGTTTTACTAGTTATTCCTAGTTGTTCTTTACTAGTTTTACTAGTAATTCCTAGTTATTATTAAAAACAAATTCGATTATACATACGATTAACAATACATTTCTAATACACGATGAGACAAACCATCCTTAAACATAGAAATCTTCAAACCTCCTAACAATTTCATCTTCATCTTCATCTCTCATTCTTGAAATTGTTTTTTTTAACTTCTCAATGACTCTATCCTTCTCCCGGATCTCATCACGGGCTTCAATCAAAGCTCTTGTTTGCCATTTTGTACCTTCCTCTTCATCAAACCAACAGAAGTAATTGCATTCATCTCCACTCTGCCACACAAGGTCCACATGCCATTTAAATTCTATATCTGAAAGTTCAATTACCATACCGCATACCTTATAACGTGGGCAGCCATAAAATCGTCTCCCTGGATTTTTGTCTGTCCAAGCTTGCGCTATCCTCGCTGGTAAGCCACAAAAACACAATCTAGGACGAGAATTATGCCTCCTAGACGACTATCCCACTTCCATCTTTGGGGAGAGAGAGAGATAGACAGAGACAGAGAGAGACAGAGAGAGAGAGAGACAGAGAGAGAGAGAGAGAGAGAGAGAGAGAGAGAGAGAGAGAGAGAGAGAGAGAGAGAGAGAGAGAAAAAATATGAGTACTCAGAAAATATCATAAGTTCAAGTCCATCACACCTAACACCTATATATACAGGAGAGAGTGGTCCAGTTCGTTCATTTATGGAGAGTACAAAAAAAAAGCAGTAGATTTAGTACAAACCAAAAGCAGTACATCATTTTAGTACAAAAAAAAGCAACACAAGTTTTAGTCTTTAGTCCAAAACCAAAAGCAACACATATTTTAGAACAACCGTTTTAGAATAAAGCAAAAGCAACACAAATTATAGAACAACCACAATCTCACTTCTTTGACTTCTTTGACTTCTTTGGCATGTCCGAGTTGTCATCCCTGGTTGTGCCACTCCTTTTAACACATCTTCCCGTGGCATTCAAACCATTTAACTGCTCTTGAACATAGTTTTCTGAGGCAGCGAGTCTTAAGTCAAACTCGTCAATCTTACTCATCCATTCTCTCATTTCTTCTTTCCAGCTATTAACGACTGCTACCACTTCATTTACCTTCACCGTGTTCTCTTCTACTTCACTGGCTCTTGTCTCATTCTCAGTATTGTCAGCGAGAGGGGCTTTCTGGGCAGCCTCATCCTCCGCTGCCATATCTTCAAACCTAACAACATATCCATTAGCCACCGTCTTCATCCAGCTCTCGACAACCAAGTCATCCTTATCTCTTACGTCCTCTGCTTCTGTTATCCGATCTAGTAGTCTTCGTTCGTCTTCGGAAACAGACAAGATGTTCTCAATGTCCTACAGTGTCAACGGGTAATTAAAATTACCATAACATGGGAGATCTCATAACATGGAGTGTATAACATGGAGCGTATAACAGGACAACTAACCTTAGTATTACCAAGTGCTTTATTTATTTTTGATAGGGGAAATCCCTTCATTTCACTTCTCTTGAACTTTAATCGACACATCCTTGGACATCTTGGGTCTACGTCATCTCCTTCAATACGCTCTACGAATTTTACCCCCAAATCGGTAATCGCCTCAAATGCAAGGAACTACACACGTAAACAACACCTCCATAAGTGTCAAAATAAAACCTTTCCAGTTATATATTACTTAAACACTTACCTCCATTGGGATACAGAAACCGGGAACTGGCCATATCACACCTTCTTTCACCTCCCCATCAAAATGAGCAATAGTGTTTGAAATTTGTTTCAACATGTAATCAAACGAGTATCTACCCCAAGGGAATGTCTTACATAAGTTGAGATCATCAACTGCTCTCAACAAGAATGGATCCACAGAAGGCGTGTCATTTCCAGTCTTTCTCTACCCAACAATAATACTTGAGAGAAAATACAACACCAACAGCCTCAACCTATCACGAGAAGGTTCCATTTCCTCAAGAACTTTTGCTTTGACGTCTTATTATCTTATTAATCCACTACCAAAATACTGCCTCACAAACCTCGTCCCTCCGCTTTCCTTGTAATCCAATGGATAATTTCGACAGTTCAATCCAGATATCAAAGCATGTTCTCTTATACCATAGCGGATGGGACAACCATTTGGGAGAAACCATGCCTCTTTTTCCTTTGAGATGCATGCGGTTCGGAGAAGTAGCATCCACATGCCCATGAGCTTGTGGTTCCCAATCACCGGCATGTGGAATATGTGTTTGAATTGCGGATGATTGTGAAACCAATTCTTCTCTACCGTAGTCATCGGAGGCTTTAAGTCTTTGAAGGTTTGAAATACATCAGCGATGAAACACCTCGTTGATATCTTTATCTTCTTCTTGTACTCCGTTGGTGGGAAGTACATGGCCAACGGTTTAAGAGGCCCATCCCCGGAATCCTGCAAACGAAACAACAAAGTGGAACTAATTAACACTTAGTTATACCAGTAGTACAAGTTATCCTATCAGTTATTCTTAGTTCTACCTAGTTGTTTTGACAAAGTATTGAGACATAGATAGATATACTTACACTTCCTTCATCTCTATCTCCTTCAGATTCTCCATGGGTCTCTCCATCTTCACCAGTATTATTGTCAGATTCATAAACCTCCTCCTCATCTCTATCTCCTTCAGATTCTCCATGGGTCTCTCCATCTTCACCAGTATTATTGTCAGATTCATGAACTTCCTCCTCTTCTTCTTCATCGTCAACTGACTTCTCGTCTCCTTCTTCTTCTTCATTGTCAACGTCCTCCTCCTCCTCTGGAACTTGTTCTCCTTCAACCTCTGCAACTTGTTCATCTTGAACCTCTGGAACTTGTTCATCTGGACCTTTTTCATCTTCAGCCTCTGGAACTTCTCCTTCAACTTCTGAGATTTTTTCTTCTTCAAGTTCTGCAACTTGTTCTTCTTGAACCTCTGGAATTTGATTTACAGTACTCGTTATAAACTCCACCTCATTCTCTACAGGTTTCGTTCTCTTCTTTTTCCTCCTAGTCCAATGTGTATTCGCCATTTTCACGAGATTTCTGCAACGACATTTACGGAATAAGACGAGACTCGAATAAGACCAACCTAAATAGAACCCAAATGAGATTGTTCTAATCGAGAAGAGAACCAAAATGAGATCGATATAATCAAGAAGAGAACCTAAATTGAAAGAGCATCCGACTAATCTAATAGATCTCGTAACCTAAATCGAAAAAGTGAAGAATAAAGAAGCCTACATACCTGTCGATCGAGAGAGGAGAGCTCGAGAGAAAGATGAGATGAGTTGGAGAGTCTAAGTTTCGTGAGAGAGAAAGGGAGAAAAAGGAGAAAGAGATAGAAAATTTTACGAGGACGCTGAAGAGAGCGAAGAGTCTTAAAATCGCGTTTGATTTTAGGGTTTACTTCGAAAATCCGATTTGCGAGTGGATGGGTGGGTTTAACCCTGGTTCTCTTCGTAAATATAGTCACGTTCCCTGGTTTTCTTGTAGTTAACTTGTTTTTCGATTTAAAAATAAATAAATAAATAACTCAAGTTATAACGAGGACATTTGAGAAATACCAAACAGATGCAGGGGCTCTACAGCCGAATTTGCAACTGTACTCTTTAACCCAAGCGTAAACATGCGGTCACTACTCTTGCCGCCGATGAGCTCCCGCGGCGTATCCTCAAAAGCGCTGCGGCCAGGTTTTCAACAACGCCTCTCAATTCGCCACCAGCCGTTGTTTAATCCACTTGGATTGGCTCCAACCCAGCTCGTTTCACCAAAGAGGAGAGCCACCATCTCTTCTTACCAATCGCCCTCGCCTCCGCTTCTCTATGGTATCCAAATCCGAGGATCTAAACCTAATTTCACACCATTCATGGTGGCGTATTCGTCTCCGACGTCTCCCGCTTCAGTGTCCAGTGCTAATGAAGTCGACAAGGAAAAACTCGCCCAGGTTCCCTCCTTGGCGTTGCTTTTCCAGCATGAGTCATTTCGATTTTGACACAATCTTACTGAATTGAGTGTACTCCTAAGCTTTATCTCCTTCTAGCTGTTTTATATTCTTCTAAGTATGACTGTAATTTGACAGGTAGCAAAGAGACTAGAGAAGACATCAAGGTACTTCAAGAGGCTTGGGAGCATTGGTTTCTGGGGGCAGCTTGTCTCAACTGTTGTGGCTGCTGTCATTCTATCATTCTCAATTGTTATAACTGGGAAACCCACTTCTCCTGCTACTTTCTATGCTACCGCAAGTGGGATCGCTGCTGCTTTTTTCTCTGTCTTCTGGTCCTTTGGGTATATTCGGCTCTCTGAGAGGCTCCGTCGAACTGCTGGTGACCCTGCCAAGGTAAAATATTATCCTTCTTCATTGTAGAAAATTATGCTTTTGAAGAGTTAAGTACAAGCAGTATAGCCATAGGGTTTGTCTTTATTTCTAATAACGAGTTCTCTTGTTTTTGTGGAGGTTAACAGCGGTTCAATAATGCTTGTAGCTTCTTATCATGTCCATAGCTGATCATAAAGCTGTTTGTATGTTCAACTCAGCCTTCCCAATTGATGTTGCTGCTTTCGGAGACCTTTTACTCTCAGTTTCATATTTGGTCGAGGAAGGGAATAAAATCCAATTTTTAATTACTGTTGTATTTGGTTCAGGCCCCGCCTCGTGCTGATGTTGTGAAAGGTTTGAGAAGTGGGATTATGGTAAATCTTCTTGGAATGGGAGCTGCAATTCTAGGGATGCAAGCAACGGTTGGGTTTTTAGTTGCAAAGGCTCTAACAAACTCAGCAAACCCTTTCTACCAAGGAGTCTCTCAAGGATATAGCCCTGTTCTTGCTCTTGATGTCTTTCTCGTTCAGGTAAAGGCTCTACTTGTCTTGGAAGACTTTTGATGGCCTTTGCGTTCATTGTTTGATTTGAGAGCCACTTTGTGCAGGCATCAGCGAACACCTTACTTTCTCATTTTCTAGGCCTTGTTTGTTCCTTAGAGCTGTTGCGGTCGGTGACAGTGCCCAACTCTGAATCCGTCTTCGTTCCAAAAGTTGCATGAGTTTCTGCCTTTTGTAGGCCTCAGTTCTGGTATTCCTAAACGTTTAATGCAGAGACTTGTTTTCTTTTATAATCGAGAACCAACTGTTGCCGACTCAACGGCTTTATTATTGTTTATTTGCCAGCAAGAGTTATCAAAATTAAAATGTATCAATCATTCTTCTCCAAATTGATATCACAAATCCAAGACAGGCCAATCTATCTTTTCCAAATTGAGATCACAGATCCAAGGCTCAAAATAAAAACATTCATTGTTCCACGGGTGAAAACAAAATAGAGCATTTTTTTGGTCGATGCTTTTTAAACACGGGAGGCTACACGCGTTAGACCGACATTCTTACAGATCAATATCGAATGCTTTCATGGTGAAGATGGAGTGAGATCGTGCAGCTCTGACTTCTTTGTAAATGAAGCGAGCTACAAAATGGTGAGTGAGACGGCGACTATGACGCCAATCGTTAAGTTCCTTCCAAATACCATGAGTGATTCTAATTGCAAGGTGATTGTTAACGGATTTACTCAATCCATCGTGCACATTTTCTCAGCATGTCTATATATTTTTAGTACTATTTAGATATTCATGTACAGGATGAAAATAACAAGAAGCCATTAGTCACAAGAGAGAAGTGGAACTTCATATCCAGAAAGCTTTCCAACTGCTCACCAAGATGGAAATATCTAACAATCTGATAATAATTTACTCGGAATTATACTTACCAAAATTAGCAGAACTGTAAGAAATTAGCAGGACCACTATTGCAGTAGCCTAGAAACCTCAGTTATATTATAACCTCAGTTTAGGGTTTATTTTTTAGGGTTTAGAGTTTAGGGTTTAAGGTTTAAAATTAATATTTTAGGGTTTAGGGTTTACTTTTTAGGACCTAGAGTTTAAAATTGATGTTTTGGGGTTTAAGGTTAATATTTTATTTAATATTTATTTTATGTATATATATAAAAAAAAACAAAGATATAAGAGTCTTTTATCCTTTAATAAAATGTGTATTTTTGAAAATGTTCATTTGTTGATGGTAAACATGAAAAGTGGTAACACCAAAGTGGTATAATTGAAATTCTCACAAGTCTTTTATGAGGTTTCATGCAACATACACGTGATAATAAAACTTTTATTTACTTCTAAATGACAATTTAATCTAGAAAAAACTGCCAAAACGGAATAGAAAAAGAAGTATATTGTCCATTTGCCATAAATTCATTTTTGACCAAATTTGGACTCAGATACCCTTTAGTAACTTAAAAAATTTATATCAATTATTTTAACAGTAAAAAAATATGATAAAATATACAAATTGTATATAAACAAGACACAATCATATGAAAATTACTTTGATATACCAAATATTAGTAAAACACAATTTCATATTTTGATCTACCGATGGTAGAAAACATTATCTACTGTCTACGAGCACGTAGAATACATATTTGGATAACTACATTATTATCTGATACTGGCATGATGTTAAATTGTGCAATAGCTATAATTCTAGTACGGTAGAATGAACCGGCTACAATTTCATTTATTTCTGAACTATGGTATATTTGATAAACTATTGTTTCCAATATATCTACAAAGACGAAATGAGAAAATCTGCCATGTATCAGTTCTCTAGAGTAGTAGAATTACTTAATCTACGGATATACTTTCTCCTACCGCCGAGGGTTTACAAAAAATACTGTTTTCTCTACATTCTACGGACAACATAATGTATATTCTTCCAGTTTCAAAATATATACTTTCCTAAAATATCTCCAAAATCTGTTAAGAAAATATATGCTAAATCTAATTTCCTCTAAATTTTCGTGTTTCCTTAATTTTTTTTAAACGTGTTCTTCATCTTTCACGTTCTTGAAAAAAAACTTTAACCACTCAAAAAATTTGAAACTCATGTTGAAGAAGATGCATATATATGCCTCCTGTAGGGTGTGGAAATTTGATCCCCTTATAGGATGGAGATTTTCGGTTGATAACAAAACGGAGGAAGACTACTCATTGTGGATTTGACAAGTTCCTTTGAAGATCTAAGAATTATGGTTTTTGAGGATTTTGGAATTGACCAAAACGTTGTCAAGCTTGAATTAAGCTACTTTCCTATGGACTTAATCAGTTCTATAGAATGTCCCCCAGTTATCATTGAGAATGATCGGAAAGTCAAAATTTCTAACTTATGTACGTGGAAAAGCTTCGACATGGTTATGTGTGTCTACTTCACCTATTAATGGAAACAGCGACAACATTGAGCTTGATAAGGAGGATTCTAACTCGCGTTTCAGTGAGAAAGGTGAACCTTTCTCGTTTTCACCTCGAGATGATATAGGTAGTTCATCTGAGTCGAGTAAATATGTTGAAGACAATGGAAACTCGAACGACTGGGAAGAAGATGCTGGTGTCGAGTTAATCGGAAAAGAAGATGATAGTGGAAAAAGTGTTCGATTTTATTTGATTGATGTTGTGAAGAGGGGTCAAACGTTTGAAAACAAATCGAAGTTGAAAGCAGCATTGGAAATGTCAGCAATGAAGAATAACTTTGATTACAAAGTTGTGAAATAAGATACAAAACTTTGGTACATCCGATGCATTGACAACAAGTGTAAGTGGAGTGTTCGTGCTGAGGGGTTATCATGATCCACATATTTCATCATAAAAAAAATATGTGGCGGATCATACATGTGCTGCGTCAAGTATGGATAACGGTGGTCGGACAGCTTTTGCAAAAACTATTGAGAGTCTAATAATGCATAGGTATGATGATGTCAAAGAAGGTTCCAAAACTAATGATATCATACCGATTATGAGAATGGATCATGGATGCGAGATATCTAAATCATTAGATTGGGATGCTCGTGAGTATGAAATTAATGTGGTTAGAGGTATTCCCGAGCAGAGCTTTGGAAAAATTCTGAAATACTTGCACATGCTGAAAGAAGCTAATCCAGGAACACACACTGTTTATGAAACATATGCTGATGGTAAATTTAGATTTCTCTTCGTTTCGTTTGGGCAATTAGTACGAGGTTATCACACCGCAATGCGAAAAGCTGTTGTTTTTGATGGGACATTTTTTGAGAGCAAATAAAAAGGGGTATTACTTGTTGCGACGACTTTAGATGGAAATTCCAACTTGTATGCTATTGCATTTGCGGTTGTCGACTCAGAAAATGATCGTTCATGGGATTGGTTTTTCAGACAACTAAAGGTTGTTGTTCCGGACAAGCCTTCTCTTTCTTTTGTGTTGGAAAAAAAATAGCTCACTTCGTAAGGGGCTCGAGAATGTGTATCCTCTTTCTCAACATGGAATTTGCATTCACCATTTGTTGAATAATGTGGTCATAGATTACAGAGGAAAGGGAGTGGTTGGATTGATTGCAAAAGCTTCTAAAGCTTATAGAGTTTTTGATTTTCAGAAGCTCTTCCAAGCCGTGTGTAATATTAGTCCAGCCATTGAGAACTATCTAACAAAAGCAGATGTTTCAATGTGGGCTTGCTGTTAGTTTCCAGGCTTTAGGTATGACCTCAGAACCACAAACCCGGCTGAATCAATAAATTCTGCTTTGCGTTCGCCAAGAGAGTATCCAGTCATTCCTTTGTTGGATAACATCAGAGAAATGCTTACTCGTTGGTTCTTCGAATGTCGCACAAAAAGCAGGAAGCACACAAAACCTCTAACAATTGCCATCGAGAAAAAGATAGATAGGCAGATTAGCAAGGGGGAAACATTTTTTGTCCAGCCAGCTAACAAACATCGTTTTTTGGTTCGTGGAGATACAATTGATTGCCTGGTTGATTTGGATAGAAGAACCTGCTCATGTGGGAAATATGACCTACTGAAAATTCCATGTAGACACGCTATCAAGGCTGGTTTAAGTGTTGGCCGAGCCCCATCTTCACTAACAGATGACATGTACACGACTTCCACTTGGAGAACAGCTTATCGAGAAACTATCAATCCAATAGTTGTTCCTGGGGATATTTGAGTTGTTCCAGATAATATTCAGAATGCTAATGTACTACCCCCTGAATCAAGAAGAGGAGCAGGAAGAAGAAGAAAACGCAGATATGAGACAGCTGAAGAAAAGATCCGTTCATCACAAGGAAAAAAGAGCCACCGGTGTAGTCGATGTGGCGGAGAGAATCAACAGGGCTACATGTGACAGTGATATTTAGTGATTTACTTATTTTTCTTGCTTCTGGATTTTCTTGTTTTTTCATTATGGTGTTGGTTACTTGATTTACTTGTTTTTTTTTTGCTTCTGGATTCTCTTGTTCTTGGAAATGGTTTACTTGATTTTATGCAATCGTTCCTTGATTTTCTCAGTCATTTCTTGTTCGACAATAAGTTGTAAACTGAAGCTGATCAATACATGTTACTCTGAAACGGTTACTCTTTAATCAATATGATGTAAACTGAAATTTTCTTTGAAACACAGAAATCAAACAATAAGTCAAATAATGAAAACAATTCTGCAACTGCAAACTCAGACAACAATGAAAACAATCAGCCAACGATTGCAAAAAACAAGCCAAATAATGAAAACAATTCTGCAAATGCAAGCTCAAACAACAAACAACCAATAACTAGAACTTGCTAAGACAGTAAGAGAATTCCATATTCCTACGATTGCTCCTGCAATAACCATAGCCATCGTCGCAATCTTTAGCTTCTGTTTCTTCTTCTGTGCAACTCTTTCCATCTCCAAGTTGATCGTCTCTTTGAGCTTTTCATACATCTCAAGCTCAACTCTAACCATCTTGGACTCCACCTTCTCCATAACCCTTTCTTCCAACTTCGTAATCCCTTCAACAACCCTCTCAAGTTTTGCATCCACCATTCGTATCTCGTCAATCAAAGCTTCATCAATCCATTTAAATAGATGATTCTCTGTTTTTCTCGTCCCTTAGTCGGTAATAACAAAGTGAGTAAGGTAGGAAAACCCTAATATGAATCGCCACCTAGTCAGTCTATTTTTCTGGATCTCCTGCTTTGTGTTATCCCTTCACCTTTTATAGTTGAACCTTCCAGCTTAGGTTTGACCTAAGCTAGTGTACGTTAATGGGCCTTCGTATTGGGCCTTTTCCTGACTCGGCAGGATGACTTCCTTACTTGTATGGACGCCACTCGGGTATCACCCGGTTGACCGTTAGTCGTCAGTGGCTCGTCCCTTATTGGGCCGAGTATGGTTTCCTGTGAGCCCTGAGGGGTGGGTACAGCCCACCGCCTACAGTAAGTCCCCCCAGTTTATTGATGACCGATAAGTGAGTCAATAGAATTAACTATTCGGGTTTGCAGGAAAGCATACTCGGGATGCGGGAGGAGGCTCTCGAGGATGTTTCTTCGAACAAATTGTTTACTCGGGGAAGAAAATGACATGAGATTGCGAGCCGAGTCTTTTACTCGGTAGCCGACCATGAGTAGAGCCTAGGAGTTTTATTCGACGATTTTCTTGTCACTGATATTTACGTATTATCGCCGATACTCGCGGGTTACTCGGCGGTCGCGCATGGGCGATTATGCTGCTCACTCGGTGTTCGACAAGTTGTCAACTCGCGAAAATCGTTAGGTAGTTGTGAGGAAGGAATCAAGTTTCTTAGTCGGCGATCACTCAAAGCGTATGAGACGGGAATTCGAGCGGTCGTGAGAGATGGGCTTTTCCTATAGGACTCGGCCCATTAAAGACGTAATGCGAAAGGTCTCGAAAGGAAAATCCCATCTAGGTCACCGTAGACCTAATAATTGCAGCTCTGAGATTCGTGCCCCTTCCCCTATATATACCTCTCTTGCCTTCCCTCTCTTCATTCTTCTCCGCAAAATCAGGTACTCTTCTCTCCCTTCTCTCTACTTTCTCTCTCTAGATAGGTGTAAAATATATACGCACTGCCGGTCATAATGTGTCCCCGAAAGTGATTAACTCGGGAAGAGAAAGGAAAGGATGTCGCACAAGATGAAACAACCGGTGAGCCCCTGGAAGATTTCGACCTGGAACATCAGGCGGCGTTGCGAGATTCAGCCGGCCTCGACTTGGCACAAAGGCTTCTCGTGGTTGACTCGGAAAGGGAATTAAGGGGTGAGAGTGCTGGCAATGCGGCTGCCGAGCTGCTCAGCGATCCGCGATTGAGTCGGGCTCCCCTAACGCAGTCGGTTAGGCCAAACGCCAGGGCCCGTGTTGTTAATGCGACACGCGGGACTCGGAATGCTAGGACAACTGGCGGGGTCCGAGTTGTTGTGCCTGCTGGGAGAATTCAGCCTGTCGCGGGTCCTCCCCCAGTTCCTACACGTTACTCGGGAAACAGTGTTTTCGAGCGGAGTGCGGTGGTTCCTCAGAATCTGATTCGTCACCGCGGCACCTACACGAACAGGCGCATATGGTCGACGTGGTCAACTCCCGATAAGTTCGAGAGTCTTCTCATGCATCTTAACGCGGTCGGGGTTACATATTTGACCCCGACTGACAGCCAGCGACCTTAGACTCCTCCAATGGGGTATCAGTGTGTCTACAAGGCATATTTTCAGCGGGACACGAAGCTCTGGTTCCCGATTCCGCGGCTTATAACTTCGTATGATTCTCGTCGCAATCTGGCCATAAGTCAGTTTCTGAATGGCGCATTCCATCTCGTCGTCGCGTTGCTGGTGATGGTCGCCGAGATTGATGTCGTGCTATGCCCCCGAGCCCTTGAAGAGTTGACTTCGATTAAGCCGCTGGATGACGACTTCTTCTCCATCACAATGAAACCGAGTTACAACGTGATCACGGGACATCCGTCGAAGACTACGGATTGGCAACGATACTACTTCTTTGTCAAATCGAACGAATTCTCGTTCGTTGATCCCCCGGATAATGGGTCTCGGGTGTTGTGGAATTGGCGAGCTGGTAGATAATTATTCTTTACTCGTAAATATATTTTTTGTTCTGACCTCTTTCCTTTTCCTGATGCAGTATCGCACCCGTATTTGACCGGAGTTCCAGGTTCTTTCTACGACAACGCTCGAGCATTGGTCCAACTTGGGCACCGTAGGTGGCCTGATATAAGCGAGGCGAGGATACGTTGTTACTTGGATCGTATCGACGACGGTAGGGCACCAAATTTCACTTTTTTCTTTCCTTTCTCTCTTTACTCGGCGGTTTTACGAAACTGTTACGTCTCGTGCAGGCGAGTGGGATTCGAGGCTTCCGTGTGAGGACCAGGTTGACAAAAAGCGATCAGTGCTCTTTTCAAGGAAGGAGCAGAAAGCTATCAATCGAGCGCGGAGGATTAGAGGCGTGCCAGACTTATCTCTCGAGGTTGAGGCTGATGAAGAGTCGGGAGCAGGGCTCATGAACATTCTGGACACGTTCAACCTGGATAGGTCCGATCCCGTGGATACAGCTGCTCCCTCCGCTGGTGAAAAGTCTAAAACGGGGCCGACTGATCCTTCTAGAGGGGGGGATAGGCGACCGCAGCCTGAGGACCAGCCTGAAGGGGGAATAGTTTGGGATCCCCTAGTCGCCGAAGAACAACCGGCTTTTGACCGTCCTGCTAAGAAGAAGAGAAGGAGAAAGGAGTCCGCTGAAAAGTCTACCGGGGAGTCCGAACGGGAATCGGCCGGTGACGGTTCCAGTCCTAAGCCGGGTGACGATCTGGATACCTTAGTTGCTAGGGAGCAGCCGGCCTCCGACCAGCCCGCTAAAAAGAGAAGAAGAAAGAAGAAAGGGTCGACCGAGAATTCTGCTAAGAAATCTACGTCCCTGCTCTCAGAGACGAATCGGGGGTCTCTCCTCACGTGGAGGTAGCTGCGATCGTGGGCCGAGTAAACGACGAACTTTCCCCCGGTCTTCCAGCTGATCCGGTAGATCCTCCACCTAACCCTTTGTCTCAAGAGAGCTCCAAGAGAAAAAAGAAAGCGAAGGTCGTTCCAGGTTCTATCGCGACGCCTTTAGGCTCCCAAAATTCTTGTTGAATAACCTATATTTCTAAGAGTGTTAAGTAACTTCAAGATATGTAAAACTATGTTTTCTCCCTTACTTTTACTAAATTTTACTAAGTTTTTCAACACATACTTGTAAACAATGTGATATGCTTTAAGTAGTTACGATTGTTTGTTTCCATCTCTTAAGTATAATTGTTTTAGACACAAATGATGATTATTGTTATGAGTTGGAAGAAGGGTTAAAATGTTGTATCAATATGAGGCTCCCAAAATTCTTGTTTATTAAGATAAGAAGAAGACCATTGGAGTTTATTATTGCATATGGGAGATCCAAATATGAGAAGAAGGTTATTGAAGTTTATTATTTCATAGATTTGTAAATGTGTAAAGACATTGTTAGCACATATATTACATCTTCAGAAACACTATAACTGATTTTACAGAAAATTCACAACTAAAAGTGCACATGCAAATCACAAAACATACCACAAACAAAACTATTATAGATCATTATATTTTAGTCTTCTGGAAGACTTCCTGGAGGAAGTCGTCTGGAAGATTTCCTAGAAGTCGTCTAGCGTATGTATATCTAACCCATATCTAAAAACCTGCAAAAAAGATAAATTGGTGAGAAAGACATGAGACAAAACTGAAAAATTCATATAAAATTTAGTGTTTTCAAGTCAAAGAGATTATAGTGGGTATGGAGAGTTTTAGCTTGGGAAAATATAAGATTTTTATGCAATATGAGTTACCAAATGAAGAAAAATCAGACATATAAATTTACCAAAACACTCGAATATTTTATGAAATGGAGAGACATGGAAGAAGACTCTGTCAGAAGACTTCCTGGAAATCGTCTGGAAGACTTCCTGGAAGTCCTCTGGATGACTTCCTGTTAGTCATCTGGAAGACTTACTAAAGGTCTTACTAGCGCATTATATTTTAGACGACCAACATGTAATTCGTCCCAGAAGTCTTCCAGATCTGAAAAAACTTGCATATCCAAATCCACATCTGAAAAACCTGCATATCCAAAAACGTTCAAATGACTTAAGAACATAGCAACTGAGTGGAAGATTAGATAAATCTACCTTTATTGAACACACAAAATTACATATCTAAAATTAATAGATCTACCTTTAAATGAGTGGAAGATGAGAACCATATGATGAAAAACCTGCAAAACAAATGGCTTAAAAACATAGCAACTGAGTGGAAGATTAGATAAATCTACCTTTATTGAACACACAAAAATACATATATAAAATAAATAGATCTACCTTTAAATGAGTGGAAGATGGGAACCATATGATGAAAAACCTGCAGAAACAAGATAAATTAGTGAAAAAGACAAGAAAAATAAAATTTATATAAAGTTTGGTGTTTATAAGTACAGAGAGATTAGAGAGAGGTTGGAGAGTTTTAGAATGGTGAACATTACATTTTTGTTTCAGTCATTTGAGAGGAGGAGAGAGAATTTGTTAATTTTTCTTTATATAGGAAGATAAAGAATCCAATTAGGTGAAATATTTTAAATTCAGACGACTTACTTGTAAGTCGTCCAAAAGATAGACGACTTAATTATAAATCGTCCCAAAGATAGACGACTTACTTGTAAGTCATCCAGAAGACTTAATATTTTTAGCGGAAAACTAAAATATTTTTAACAGGAAACTAAAATATTTAAGCGGGAAAATAAATTTTAGGAGAGAATAATAGGATGACTTACATGTAAGTCGTCTGGTTTAAATTACTACCCTAAACATAACCTATAAAATTAATTAACTAACTAAACACTTCATAAAATCAAATTAAACTTAAATAGTATTTATACACAGAAATAAACACATATAGGTGAAAATT